AGATTCAATGTGTTGTCCAATATGAAATCTGGATGGTGTTCTAATGTATTCTTTACAATACTTTCTGTATTGGATACAACGTGATATAAATAAAATGAATAGGATTTGTGTCCGGGTTTAAGTATCAGTATCAAAACAAAATCTATCGCTAATTATAGTTCATTCTATAAAGCAAAAATCGATACCTATATTGTTACTAACAAATGCTCTTCTTTGAACAACTTTTCTCATAAACATAGTTAAGGTTTTATACATAGATACCTCTTGCAAACTTCTTGAAAATATTCTTAAAATTTTATATTATTAGTCATCATACCAAAAAAAAACTTATTCAAATGAAAAACAATGAAAAGAAATTTCGAATTTGGGCAAAATTGTCGTAGTCATTTTGAATAATGGAATGAAGCGATGGTTTTCTTGAGGATAAAAAGTATGACTGCAATCTGCTAGTGGTTTTTAAAAGAGCAAGAACCTCAAAAGCATTTTACATGTTTATATAAGAAAAGTTATAAAATCATGATACCACATCCATTGTAATGGATTCTTTTAACTTCAGGACCTATTTGTTTTCCAGCTTTTCCGAGATTAAAATATGCTATAATCTCATATCGAAAACCATTAAAGAATTTTGAAAAAAATGTTTTAAGTGGCACGTCCATAGAGAATATTCAGAATCTCTACTTCTAGCGTTCATTATTCGTACACACAAGACAACCAAGAAATCTGTTCTTCCTGATTTGTCATTCGCATTAATTGTTAGATCAATACATTTAACCAGTATCCCTGGATCAACAATTCTTCAAAAAATCGAAACAAGGTTTTGTATCCTGTCCTTCTCCGCTGGACTGGTGAGGTTGAAGTTGCTGGTGCGCCTTCTGCCTACGGTGGTAGATGCTCTTGTGGTTGTTCAAACTGTTCAAAGTACGGAACACTTTGTTGCATAAACCACAAATTGCGTTATTAAGCGGTTGCAAATGTTGCTGTTCTTTGTGTCTTTTCAGCGTCAACTTCGTGGACAGCATTTTTCCACATACATCACAACGATGGCAAGCTGTTGATTGCTGCTCGTTTGATGTCAAGTGTTGCTGGGATAGTTGATTCCTGTGCTTGTTGGCTTCGTGCTGTTGTTGTTCACGCAAAGATGCATAAACTGTTGCCATTTTGAAGTAGAATGGTTTTGGATTTTGGTTCATATCGCAGAGTCGATGTAGAATCAGAACCGGTAAATGGAACAGAAAAAAATTAACTATGTGACTATCATTGCTTCGTCTTAATTTAAAATTTTAGAAACATTAAATTAGGAAAACGATTTATAAAACTGCTTGTGAGAGTGAAAACTATATATATTAAGAAATTCCAAGAATATATAACAATCCTGAACACTAATTTTAGTGGCAGTATTAATTCTCTTAGAATTGTACTCACTCTAGTGTGAGTTATTTATTGTGAGTTTAACTTCAATTTTATATGTCTTAATATTTGCAGTTTTTTAGAAAATCGTTTTACAAACTTAAACTTCAAAAACAAAAATATACATAAGATATATTATAATGCATTTTTTAAAGTTTGGCAGATATGTACAGAATATATAATATATTATGAATAATTATTGGTTACTATATACATAAACCCAGGTGTATTAATATTGAAATTTTTGTGAAAATTAAATGATAATCAGTGTGAAAAAACTGCAGAAAAACCAACTGGTCCCTTGAACAATGTGAATCAATTGGTTGAAGGTGCAATTTTTTATGAATTTACACATTCTTACACAAATGTAAATAAAAATGTAAATAAATAATGCAGAGAATATATCTTCTCCAAAAATTTGTTTTTTGAAATAAAAAATAACAAAAATTTGGTGAAAAAAATTATTGATACGCCTGGGGTGTTTTATAGCCAATTTTGTCAAATTTTAGGTAACACATGATACCAATTTTTATTAATTTGAATTTAAAGAAAATGCATTATAATCAATTTTTGTTTTTGATTCATCAGCTAGAAAAATGATAGTCCATAGTTGTATTTCTCTGTTCCAATTGGTTCAATTGCTATAAGTACCATTCGGTTTCCGTAATAAAGCTTTTATCATATTGTTAAGAAGCAAGCAAATATTCAAATAAATCTAATGCATGTTATATGTGTGCATTCCTATTGATATTATATTAAAATATATTAAGCATTTATTATATAAAGGGTATATATTTTTTATATACAGCAATTGCCATTCACTCAATCACACACTGCATGCAATTTTAGTTAATTGCTTCGGAAAAATCAACCTACAATTGAAAATATTAAAATCTAATTCCAAATATTGGCAAGAACTTGTTGAATAAATTTATAAAATTTCTATTGAAGTAATAAATTGTACTATTATAAAAAATAAAAATAAATTCGGCTTTTTTTTTTTAAATAAAATTTCTATTAAAATTGTGCATAATATCACTTATGTGCAGACTACCTAAATATGCATATTTTATGCATTTTTAATTAAGGCAAATTTGTAAAAATATAATATTGTTCAATTTTTTCTTCACTTCATGATTCTTGTATCTTCTAATTGTTCTACGAATAAACCTCTGTTTGTATAAAAATACAAATTTTAACGTTCAATATATGGAACACTTTTATTCCTTATTTCTTTTTGTTAATTTACAATCGATAGTTTTTACTTCTTTATATTTATTTGAATATATTTTCATATTGCTCTTGATATTTATATCAATAATTCAGGTACATTTAGTTTTCATGGATCATGATTTAAAGTTTTCAATTTTATTTTTTCTTGATGCCGCAGATTTTATATATTTTCATCATAAAGATGAATTGATTCTCGGTAGCCACCACAACTTTGGCGAAAAAAAATTTAATACGCCAATTTATGATTATTTGAAAACAAAGACATGCATATCACTTATTTTGATAATCCAATATATTACTTTGAATTTCACATCACTGTTTCATTAGTGGGACTTGAAATTTGTTGATGTCGCTTGCCATCAATGTAACGAACGTAACAATTTATTTTTTTGTCCTGATAATATATATCAAAGTATTCTTCAATTTTGTTGTTTACCATCTCCGCCACCAAAATATCCTGTGGGTCCCATGTACCCAGAAGCACCAGTTAAACTTTCATCTTTAGGCCGCACCATTCTATGGTAGATACTTTTATGGTTCCTCAAACTGTTCAACGAACTGTACACCCTCTTACAAATATTACAAACTGGTTCCTTAGATGGTCGCATATGAACATTCTGTATGTGCCTTTTCAATCTGGTGAGTGATGTTAGTTTTTTATTGCATGGTTCACATCTAAAGTCTTCCGATGGTTTTTGAAGAAGTCCAGGTGTTTGAAGGTAATTTCCTGATGGAGGTCTCACAGTAGAGTTGTCGATATGATATTTACCTGGTGATTGTAGTCTCAGATCGTTTGATGATAGTTGACGAGATGTAGATACTGCTGATCCTAGTATGCCACGAATTTGTTATACGTAACGTTGTTGTTTGCGTATTTGACGCAAAAATTACCTTTATTGTTAGCACTAGTAGTAATTTGGAAATACATTGTTGCATTTTGTAAATTGAAGGAAATGTATTAGAGATGAACCCAGTATTATAAGATATTGAGCGTTAAATGTGTAACGAAAGTTATAAAGTTCACAAAATATTTTTTTTATAAATTTACGTTTTTATTTGAACATACTTTGGAAGTTTTGTACATTGTTGCACCAGAAAATTGTCGTTATGCACAAACATTTTCTATCTCGTTATTCTTCTTTAGAACAAATATCTAGATAAGTTTGGCAGCAAAAAAGAATATTATACTCTATGAAAAAGTTATTGAACTCAATTATTAAAACGTGGATTTTAAGAAAATTAGATTATTATTTGGATAATTGGTAACTTAATCAGACTAGATATAGTCATCAGACAAAAATATATTGGGCTTCATTTTGAAAAAAATATGCCAGATTGAAATGAAAAAAAAAACAAATATAATCCTAAGAGCATGCGATAAAGAAAATTTAAAGTTGCTCCAGTAAACTTCATTTCCAAAATGTAGAGCGGGATAACTTATTTCTAGAAATTATTTTTTTGAAATTTTTAGAGTAAAAGCAGAAAATTGAAAACCGGGATGGAAGTAATTGAAAAAAGAAAATAATAGAACATAAGATTACTAGAAAATATATAAGCATTTTGTTTAAAGAAACATCCGTATTTGATTATCGCAATTATATCTTCCGCTTTGGAAATCAAGCAAATAAGGCGAAGACTCTGAAAAAAAGCTAAGCCGGGCTTAAAGAAGTGAATTTTATAAAATTTTGTTTTTTCGCACATAATTTTAATATTTTTAACAGTTAGTATTTTTAATAACTTAATTATTGTCGCCTAAAATGATGACAAATTCTGTGTGTAAAATTAGTCTATAATTTGATGAATCTCAATGCAAGCTATTTAAATTCTACATGTGTCATCAAAATATTATGAAGGTAGTAGATTTTCTAGGCGTAAATTATTTTGGTTCATCTCTAAATCAGGATAGGAAGCAATAATAAATACAACAAAACGTATAAAAGTGGGATTATTTTTCTTATATTGCTCAAATCAAAAGTGTATAATTATTTAAGCAATAATTTTTTTTTCTTTACTTGAAAACAGTCGTTAAACCTAACAATTTGAACATTTTTTAAAAACATGCAAAATAAAAGAAAATTGTCAGGCCAACGTGCTGCTAACTTAGGTCAATTATTATTAAATATTTTCTTTATCCATCTTTATAAAACAAATGATAAATTGAGCAAACGTAGGCACACAGCAGACAACATACATTCACATTGATAAAAATGACAACATTGAGCGCGCTTTTCAAAATCAAAATGATAACTAAGAATAGTTATACGGATGCTGGATATATAGATATGTAATATGTTGCGATTTAATTTGTAAGATAAATAAAAAATGAAGAAAGTTAACAGGTAAAGTGAGTAACTCACCCTGAGACGTACCGGCTAAGTCGGATTGTAACGAAGGGCTGCCTAAACCTGGAAAATAATAGAAACAAATTGTTAAAAAATTATTCATTTGGTTAAAGTACTAATAAATATAATAGTTAAATGTGAATTTTTGTTAGTATATTATGATCTCCTTCTCGTAATGTTCAAATTAAAACAGAATGTAGATATTGCTTTGTTCATTTTAATAAAAACAATTTAATCTTAGCTGGTTAAGCATTCATTTTATACGTCTTTCTTGCTTTCAAGGACAAAATATTGAGTTTCGAATAGATTTGTAAACGAGCATCTACATAGAAAAATAGAATCAATTTTCAATATATATTTGTCGAGCAATTAACTTCAAACAATTTAACTACTTAATCTACTTTGAATATTAACAATTGCCTTTTAAACTAGTTTTCTGTGTACCTACTACCTTTCAAAAATTTATTTTGATGTTTTCAAGTTAAATAAAACAAACTACACAATAATTATATAGTTGAGATTCATGATCCATTTAATTGAAATTGAGTCAAAAGATTTTCAGCATCTTATACAAATTGCAAAAATCTAGATAACATTAATGGCCGAATTGTTGGCCCCACAAGTAACTAAATACTTGTAGGTCCATAAAAAGTCATAATAGAGCTTGGTCTATCAGAAACATCCTATAAATTTCTTGTCTTACTTATAAAACTGACACGGCTTGTCGCAAAAAAAAAATGATATGGGGCCATGGCAGTCACATATGTGTGACCTAAACAATAGTGTTGTATCAGGGTTTTTAGCCAACAAAATTTTATCTTTTATACCGTAAGTTTTCTTGATACATTGTTAACTAGATGATCTAATAAAGTTACCATGGTCCATGCGATTTTTTTTTCTCGATATAATCGTGGCGATCAACTTGTTGAAAATCGATAGTGTCACTAGAATGTAAATTCAAATACTATATTTTATAGATATTTAAATATATGTATAATTACCGGCCATTGCAGGATGATCAGGGGTGCCGAATCCGAACCCGAAAGGTCCGAATAACTTTTCGCCCATCAATCCGGCGAGCACCCCTGCGTGATGACGATCTACAGGTGATGCATCTCCATCATCTCCATAGCCACCGTGTAAATTCATTCCTGAAATAATTATTCAGTCAAAGTATGATGACATATGGATAAAACAATATATTGCTAAGATTTCCTAAGATTTACTTGCTGAAACTTTTGTTTATTCATAGCACTCTACTAATACATTGTTAAAAATAATTGTATTTTAATAATTGACAAATGTGATGTAAAAGTTTGAGTAAAAGTATAAGTTTTATCTGAAATAGCTATTCGCGACTTTCTTAACTTAAATCTTGGTATTTTTTTCTATTACAACAATTAATCTATAATGACTAACACGTAATTTCGATAAACAATTTAAAGAAGTTCATCAATCTGATTATGCAATTAAATGTACTATTTTTTCGGATGTTATTAGCTATTACAAGTGTAAAATTATTTTCAGAGCACGATGGCCCATTTATTGCCTCAATAGATTTCTTTTAATATAAGTGATTTCATTCAATGCAAGTAAGTTCATTCTATTTAACCACATATTGTTAAAAAAAATTGTCTATACCTCCTGGTCCACCATGATGTAGACCGTGCAATCCGACCCTGTGCATATCATTGGGTTCTGGTGAATCGCCCGAAGCCGTCCTGCGATCGCTGTGATCGTCAGGCGTGCTACCACTTTGGGGTTCTGATTTTATCAACTCGGAATCGGAGGCATTGCGTTGTATAGGTGATGTTGAACTGTCGCGGTCATTGTTTAGGCCTGGAAATTTTAAGGTGTATTAACTATAGCATACAAGTCACTATAAAGTTTCATTCATTTCCTCAATTTACCATTATTATTTAGCAGTCCGCCATTATCTTGCCCTTCCTGTTTATGGTGATGATGATTGTTCATAAGTAGCTGATGTTGTTTAACCGCTGTTGAGCTATAATCTGCAGCCAGCAATTGCGGTAACCTACAACCAGGATCAATTATCGTGTTGTTGTTATTTAAACTCAGGGAATTAGCGGCTAAAGCTGAATTGCTATTTGGGGGCGGTGTGAGATGAGGTCCTCGGGGTCGCTTGTTGTTCGAAGCTGGGTAGTCGCAATCGGAGTGATCTGTTGAATTACGGCGGTCCCTAGAAGAGATAGTTATGTTTAGAATGACATGAAACAACTCATATTTAACTAAGAAAAACTAGTCGTGCGTGTATGTAATCATCATCTAGTAAATCCATGGATTATTTGCAGTTTGTGACTACCAACTCATATGACTATATTAGAGATGGGCTTATCATATCCGAAGCCAGATTGACTCGGATTTGATTCCGCTTCATGGTGGAGTTATATCCGCTTAACAACTCCACAACTCCGACAATTTTGAGACCGAAATACTCGACACAAATGTGTTCTAATGTGCGTTGTTTATGTATCTAAGGATTTGTCAAATCCCATTAATTATTAGAAATGAAAATTTATGAATAAATATCAATAAAATAATTTTTGTTCTAATGTAATAAACTTTGTAATAAAAGCAAAACATAATACTTCTGCTTTCAAAATTTTTCTTCTGCTATTTCCATTTGAGAATTAATATTATATCGCGTAGTTCGATTAGCATATTACTTTCACATAATTATATAATTGTGTAAAAGTAATGATATAATACTGAAAATTTTTTGCTGCTTAAATACTAATGATATCACTGACAAAATTTGTACTCTGAAGTGTTGTTATTTCAGGCTATGGAAAAACCAGATTAAATAAATGTATTTCGATTCGTATATTTTTGGGTATGTATGTTCCTGATTGCCGTCATTCACGGCCAAAGACTGTCGCAGGTAGAAATAAAACCTCTTACTATTCAATAAATTATACATTTGAGCTATTCACACTTGAACACAATTTTGTTGTTCTGTATCTTTGAAGTAATATTTTTGTATTTTCTGAAAAAAAAACGTATACCTAAAAGGTCATAAAACTGCCTGTGAGACAAGAAAGTGACCGCTTCCTTCCCAAAGCAAAAACAGTAAATGTCTGCACAAGTTAACAGATTTAATACCAGTATAGGGAAGTCGGATATGACAAATCCTGTGAAACAACTCCACTCGGATTCACTCCGAGGGAGGAGTTGTATCGGAGTGATAACTAGACCATATAAATATTATTTTTTAAATCTCACCTCCTCTGTGCTTCTATCGCTGCAGCGGCAGCCGCCCTCCTCAGCAGTTGATTAACGGTTGCTCCAGGCGGCATCTTGCCGTCTTGGCGTTGCGTTGGCCCGTTACCCGTTCCATTGTTCCCCGTGCCGTTGCCGCCGTTGCCGGTCGCGTTACTCGACGACTTGTCGGACGAGCTTGCGTTCAGCGGCAAAGGCGAGTCCGGCGTACCGGCCGGTGCGGGGTAGGAATTTGTGTCTTGGCCGGAATGGTGACCCAAGCCTGGCGGTAGTTGATGATGGTAGTTTATTGGAGGCGTTGAGGAGCTGCTTAGGTTTTGCACATGGTTTAACTGGAAAAGATATAGATACTTTAGCGTGGAATTAATTATTTTATATTACTATACTTTCTCTAAGCATGACATATTGTGTATACGGATGTCGTCCATGGACGACATGTTTTGGGTCGGTCTTTGTTTCAAGATATATCACTATGAGTTAAACTATTTGTAAATCTAATTTTTATTGTAATGCTTAGTTTGTTACAAGCGTATTTTATTCACATTTATATTGATAATGATAGATATTAATATAATAGTTCAGTAACGATACTAAGGGATATGCTGTTCCGTACAGCAGCGACCTTTCAGCATAAAACACTCTCGTAGCGAAAGGGTTAGAATATTAATAATATTTGCAATTCAATTTTTGAATAAAGTTATACTAATCTTAATTCATAATGAAGCATTATAGTTTTACTATTAATTTTCAACTCACAATATGCGCTTCAGAAGGTTGTGAATGAATGAAATTCCAATGCAATTCTGTTTAAAATATTTCATATTGTGGTTATAAAAGTGAATTAAGTTAAAACAAAATAGCAAAAATTTGATTCAGTTGATGGTTTGACAATAATTTGCTTTGCTTGTATTTAATTAATGCAACAAACGTTTTCATGTAAAATATACAGCTAACTATTTTTAATTCAAATAAATTGCGCCAAACTCTATTTTATTAATTCTCTGAATTCATTGCACCATCATCAATAATTCATGAGTCAAAGAAGAAATACTCGTGCAAGTTTTGTATTCGAATTTAAATAAATAATTGATTCCGCTATGACACAAGAATAATCGCGCAAAAAATTTAAAGGCCAAATTCGGTTAATGCATTCATTACATTGTTTGAAAATTTGGCAAAAGTAGCACAAAGGCCAATGGTCGTTCGCAAATATCGAACAGAAAGGAAATAAACATTTATCAATATATGCAATGCATTGGATTTATTTTACATTTATTGACACAATTAATATGTCATACAATGTTTTTCAACGGTTTCGTTTCGACAAAACATAAAACATAGAAAATAATTTGAAATATTTTTATTTGATAATTCTTTAATTAATTTCGATTTGAATAGAATATATACAAACAAATTTCAGAAATTGTTGGAATATGAAATTTTTTGTAGTAAATGTATATTTAATAGCATCAATGAATAATATTTTAGCTTAGATACTTGTTACAATTAAACAAATGAAGATACATTGTACTACACTGCACTTGTTGGAATATGGAATTTTTTGTAGTAAATGTATATTTAATAGCATCAATGAATAATATTTTAACTTAGATACTTGTTACAATTAAACAAATGAAGATACATTGGACTACTAATTTATATATAAATAATCCAAAATAGTTATTTGCCCAAATGATCTAGTTTTTATTTCTAACTGAATAAATATGTACCTAATATTATTTTCTGTTACTGCAATGTATTATTTATTTTAATGTGTTAAAAATTATTGAATGGACTGATACGCAACATATGTAAATTATCCAATGCGAATTCATAATACATTTAATTTATCTATTCAAAATTTAAATTAAATCGATTGACCTATTCAACATTAATTGCAAAAATATGCTAATCCATAAAGAAATATAAAAATGGAGATTGTTCTATGTGTAAGGTATCTTCCCGGAAACGTGGTACGTATTGACACCCCGAACCATTTTTTTCTAATTTGGTTCAATTTTACTTTTTTGTAACGCGTGTATGATCCATAATCCTAAATTATCAGTATCACCCTCTTACTACAAAATCTGTATTTCGTAAGAATTATTTAGAAATTACATTATTTTTATCTCTATTTTTGTTAGAGAATGTTTTTTGACTGAATTTCGATTGAGATTACCAAAATACTCAGATTTGCACAAAATATATTTATGTTTGCGTCAATTTTATTATTTTTTTTTAAATACGAGTTTGAGAAATATCTGCATGCATTCCTCTATTTTCACCTTCTTTCCACATTTTTAGAAGTTGAAAGATATACGATGAAATTTTTTGCGCATTCACAAATTAATAATAGACAGATTTTAATGAAGAACAATGTCTTTTGTAAAATAGCATACTTTTCGAATCTTAGTTTAACCCATCTTCAAAGATGAGTCTCGTTCAAACTAAAACTCGTGCTGTTTAAATAGAAATTGTTCTATATGTTTTATATAACTATATATATTATATATAGTTATTATCCTTATTTGTTAATAACAAATGTAAAATACTATACTCACGGCTTCCGTCTCCTCCGCCTGTTTCTGCGTCAGTCCGGAAACTCTCAGAACTTCCGCCGTCTTGAGGAAGGAACTGAGCGACCTCTGGTGCACGTTCACCTCGCCGTGATATATGAATTCGACGAGGGCGAACAGGTCCGAAAAGGATACATCTTGCAATACTATCACAGGGTGCTTGCAAGGTGTACTCTGATAATAAATTATTATTATTAATTCCCACATATAGTAATTTATCATTATTACTATTAATTCTACGTAAATGATATTTATTACTATAATATTTCAATTGCATAAAAAGTCTAAGTGTCAAAAGTGTTTGAAAGTGTGTATATTAGAACTTTCAAAAATGAAATCTATTTGCAAAATGGTTCATATATTGTTATATTTAAGCGTCTATATAGATATATTCAATTCTATTTTAATTATAATTCAGCAATCTTCAAACTTCTTGTGAAATTTGTTATATTTAATAAAAACATAAATTGATATTTAGTTCAATTTTTATGTGTCTAGTCACCCAGTATTTACATCTGTTTATTCCAATTACAGTTGCTTCTACTAATTCCGAGAAGTGATTCTGATTATTTTATAAGTCTTCTAAGGTCGCGGTATTGTTCATATTGATCCAATTCACATTGAATAAAACATTAAAATAATTTTATCATTTACGATAGATAAATACAATCATTATAATTAATAATTATCAAAATCAAAATAATTATTATAATTATTAATTATAATAATTATTTTGATTTTGTATATTAAATTGTCAGTTGATTAGTTATGAAACTTTATTGCGTAAGTCCGGACTAATATACATTTCAATTTTTTTTATTTAAATGGTAATTATAATTTAAAAAGTATTTATGACTATTTTATTCCTTTCGATAATTTCTATTATTTTACGGACGCCACCAATATTAAGATTCCTATTAAAATTACTGATTTTGAAATTATTATTCTGAGATAAAACTAAAATAAACATTCGGTTTATATATAGAAATTTTTTACTTTCCGAAGGAGAAATTTGTTTTCACGACGAAATTCGATTTGTTAATTTCATATTTTCTTGATGTGTCGAATCATTTTCAATCAAATGAGACCAAATTTCGAAAAAGTATATGTATGTGTGGGCAAATTTTTAACGTTTCGTCGACGTTTTCTCAAAAACAAGGACGAAAAAACTGAACAATTTAAATCTTTTAATGAAACTTCAGATCACTTGCTTTGTTTTCTGATGCGATCGGATGAGCCGTTTCTTTAGAATTAGCAAAAAAATTCAAAATTCAAAATATTTTATCCAAAAGTAGTGTATCTATTTTAAAATTTTAAAACTATTCGAAAGATATTTGAAAATCGCGTTGATTAAATTTTGACAGAGATCAGGGCGTCGTAATTGATACATAATGACATAATGACAATATTAATGACTTTGTATTACGATATGATAAAAAAATATCATATTTAAGTAAGTTAAAAAAATTCATTGAAATTTGGATTGATCGGCCGCGCTTTAAAAAATCCTTCGTATCACTTCGTATTAGGCACGTGTTCGTTTTTGTAATAATATGTAACAAAAAAAAATGTTAAAAACTGAATAAACTGCAATAGTTTCGCATACTATGAATCTCTATAGCAACAAGGTATACTTATTAATCACCTTTAAATTAATATATTCATTTCTTATTGATTTAGTCAATTATTCAAATAGGTAAGTTTATGCAACTTGCCCTACTGGCAAAATACCACTTACAACTAGTTTAAATTTTAAAAATTAAGAATACCCGAAAACGGAAAAAATGGGTCGCAATATTAACTATATTGATCCGATTTCTATTAAAATTGTTAATTTAAAATTATTATTGTGGGATAGAACTAGTATTAACATTAAGTTCAGATATTGCAATAAAAATGCGTAAAAATGTTATGCTATATATATATATATATATATATATATATAAACATTTTTTTTTAAAAAAATCAATAATTACGAGCGTTATTTTGTGGTTATGTAATTTATAAAAATTAAATTTATATCCAATAAATATTACCGAAAAAAATAATTTTTAATCACCTTAAGAAGTTCGCGGAAATATGGACTGCACGCAGACAAAACAACCCTATGAGCCTTTAGGCTGCGCCCCTCGCAGGCTAACGTCACGTCCACGAAATCCTCATCGTCCCTTAAATTCTCGAAGGCTGATGTGATACTGCTCTGATAGTTGTTCCATCGTAGACAGAAATGTTGTGTGTCCGACATCGCTTGTACTCGCCTAAAAAGATAGAGAAATTCAATTAGCATTCAATTTGTCTATAAATATGTTTTGATGAAACTAATATATATAATAATGCATGATATATTCTATTCCAATAGTTTTTCTAACAGGTTTCTTACTTTTTTTCACTTTAATGAATACTTTTAGCTAATCTTCAAATTTATTTTTGATAGATTTAGTTTGATAGTTTTCAATTAGTCACTATTTTATTAGACCTACTAGATAGTTGTGCAAATTGCAAATGTCATTTGGACTATTATATTTAGTTTTTGTATTGGTACAAAACCGAATGAATTTTTTACTATTTTTTTTAACTGATTTTATTAGGTATAGCTTATTTACTATTTAAAGTGATAGTTTTAATTACATTTTATGTTATATTTTATTTAATAAAAAATACTATTACTTATTAATTATTACTTACTATTTAATATATCTACACGGTATATTAATATAATTTCCAGCTTTATATTAATTAATTAATTAATTTATTTTTTTAGCCATTAACCGTTTTCAAATATTATTATATTTATTATTTTTATTTATTATTATTATTTTTTTACCTTTCTTTTTTTGCATATTTCTTATATTATTTAAATCAATATTATTTTATCTATAGCTTGATCTATTCTATTCATAATATTATCTATTCTATTCATTATCAGGACCTTCCTTAAAATTATAGCATAAGGACCTTTCTCCAAATGTATTTGTTTATCTATGGTTAAAACATAGTTATATATTCAATATAAACTATAACAAATTAATAATAAAAATTTTAAATACAACTTGCAGCAAAACTAATTCGTATTGAATTAATGCATGTGATGGAAATTATTTTAATTGATGTTTATATCTACACAAAGTTCGTATAGTTTGTTGATCTTTATTATAAAAATCATCATAAAACTTATTTCTTAATTTGTTGTTATTCTCTTATTGACTGCGATCTCCGTTTTTAAATATCTATCTTAACAAAATAAGTTTTGCAGCACAATAATAGATGAATCAATTAATGATTTTCATTCTTATTTATACTTTTTTTTTGTTTCTAGAAGATAATTACAATAATGTGGTTTTTCATATGAATTAGCTAAAAAAAATTCGCTAAGCATATCATATATGCGACTTGTGATTACGAGCAGATAAAAAAGAGACAATTTTTATTGTACAAACATATACCAATCAACAAACTTTAAAATATACAGAATTATCATCATGACTGCAAAGCCTAGACAAAGTATCTGGAATTAGTTCTTTATCACTATATTGTATGTGTATTTTTCACACAGATCGCGAATCAGTGGAATTTTTTTTTATTTTTATTTCAAATGCATCATATAAAACATACGGTTTTGCAAAAGAGGAACAAACAAATCCTAAGAAAAAAATTCTTGAATTATCAAGACATGGCGTCTTGTATATGTGTTTGATAAACTTGCGAATTCAATATGATCAGATTTTTTATTCTATTTGGCTTTTTACTCTATATTTACTAGAAGATAGAAGAGATCTATTTTTACTAGAAAAATTTTACGATCTACATTTTTAAGAACAAATATATATTACTATTGATATAAGGTTAAGGCCGGACACTTACCCCGCGCAAAAAATTTCAAATGTTTATTTTTAATTCTTATTATCGTTTTCAGCTTAATTTTTGGTAATGTTTATCAAAGCAATGAATCATTAAGACAAACCAAAAGTTATTTTTATGCAAGTTTCGTATTTGCAATCGATAAAATGTTGAGAAGTATTTTTTCTGGTTTAGCAATCGTTTCGAGTCGCATGAGAAGTTCACACATTGCCATGTATGTTATTTGCTATTTTTTATATTATCAGTAAATTACCTCGGCATATAAGTTCTATAAATGCACAACTAGTACTATCTCGTTTATTACATTCTTGATAAGAATTAAAAATGTACAAATATGACGACAGTGATGTATTCGTAAACTAGATCATCAGATATTTTTATAGCTTGGTGCGTATCTTGTTTGAAATTACCTTTCTAATATCAGCATTTTCGTAGAAAAATTCATTTTCTAATGAAGAATGATTTTCAGATCATTTTTAGATCTCCGTACAAAAGTTGATGATTTATTAGAAAGCTCTTGTTTTTGTGGTAATTCAAGACGAACTTTACCTAATAATTACATTAATTATTGAAATGTAGGGGAGACTGGGTACGGTTGTGCCAGTTTTTATTATCAGCAATGACCAGTTAGCTGGGAGAAAAGCAACTTAAATGGTAATTTGAACATTTGTCTACGAGCAAATACTAAAATACTGTTCTTAAATACGTTGGATTAGCCATAAAATTAAATCATACAAGAAATGGGCAAGTGTCACAACCGTCCCCCAGGGATTAGAAGGACTTTTATTGTTAGTCAAGAATTAGCAACAAAAGTTAGCAAGAAATTGTTGTGAAATCTTTTTTTCCTTGTATTGAATTTCCTTTCATTTTCTCTTTCGTATTTTGTCTTAAGTTCTTTATGTATTTATTATTCACCCGAAAAGGACAAGAATTGCAGTAATTAACTAGTAATCAACTTACAACAAATAAGCAATCAAAGATTAATCTTTATACAAGTAACAGTTATTATTAAGAGAAATCGAACAAAAAAAACTTACTTTTGACTCCTTAAAAGTTATAAGGTCTACAGATCATATTAATATAGCATCATAGCTGACTCAATGCTATGATTGAAACTTGTTCCAACTAACATACTTTATTTTTTCCTTTTGAACCCTATCTCAAAATAAGTATAGTTTTTCGATTTTATGACGAATATCACTACCGTACCTTCTTAGCACAACCGTACCCAGTTTTTTCTACTCTATATGAGTTTTAATTCAGTTTACAAATGCAAATCAATTACCTTTTTGTTAAATAGTAATTTCAGTATTAAATTTTGATCTAAATTTCTAATAATTTAAAATAAATATTAAATAGTTTTATTATAGTATAGAAAAATGATGTAGCCTAAGACGAGTAAACTATCTTACATGAATATTAATCAGTGCATGATTATAATTAAAATCTCTATTTAAAAATCCATTTAAAGCCAATAGTTATGATAATCAATGAATTACATGAATTTTTTTACTTAAAATTTGAATACATTTTAGTAATGATCAAAAATGAAAACTTTTGCGAAGTAATATGAATAATCTAGTACCCGTATATCTTTATTTTCATTCAAGCACTAAACCAATTAAAAACAAGTCTATGATTGATAATTATTTTCATAAAGTTAAAGTTTATATTTTTGTCAACACGTACGTGCAACATTAAATGCATATTAATGTTTATTTTTAATAAATAATCAGCACCAAATGAGCTTTATCCATCATAGATATTTGGCCTTTGGCCTGGATTACGTAAATCCAAAATTTGAATTTTGTTTATTTTGATAGCATGCATTTGATTTAATTGAATAAAAATTGTGAAGATGAAAGTTTGAAAGAAAGTTTTTCGTACATTTTTCTTAGTATCTTTATTATAGGTTTCACAATCTACCTAATAATTTGAGTATCTAAGTGCGATATGATAACAAAAATAATACAATTGAAATGTTTTTTTTTTAAATTTAAGAGTATTCAGTTTAAGAGTTCAGTTTTAGTTCATTTTTGTGTAGACTCTACATAAGTTATTGCTTTAATTTTCATACAATATTTTTGCTTTCTCTACCTATTATTAATCGAATCCTTCGAAGTAAAATGTTCCAAAAACAAAATGATTATAAAATGCAGTAAATATGGAAAAATATTAACCTTATTTAAAGCTGTTTTAAGAAAATACTACTATATGTTGCATGTAGACAATTAACAAATATAAATATAATGGGTGGTGATAAGAAACGCAAATACGAATGCATATATCATATTTGCTAACCCAATTAAGGTTTCACGTAGAAAAATGTGTGAATCTATTTATTTCATTGATTTTTATATAAAAAATATTTAAATAGTTTACTTTTCGATTTTCATATAGTATTAACAAGTACAGAAATTGAAGGTTTTGATCTGAAAATATACAATTACTTGGTTAATAAGCAACGTGCTATAAACCGAGTTCTGTAAGTAAAAGTGATTTTTGAACAATATGTATATAGTATATTATTTAATAATTTTATAAACAAAATTTCGTTTTCTCTACCGAAGAATTATAATTCCACATTTCCCAAGGCTTGAATTCAAAGATACTTCTAAAAATGATGTAGGGCTTAAGTAATTTGGAATAAAACGAAAATTTGTGAAACTCGCAGATTTTGCTCATTATGAATACGTTTTTGTGGAATTTAGTGCTGAATTCGCTCATTATGAATATATATTTCGGGAATTTAGCAATAAAACTTATAACTATTTAACCCTGATCGTACAAACTTCTGCCTAGTATTGAGACTTACCCAAGGGGTCCCAACAGACCACAGCAGGGTTTAAACGATCGTCGTAGGCAGACAATTAAAAAAACGAAAATAAAATCAGAACTATCTTCAATGCGACAGCATACTTTTTTAAAACTAAAAAAAATTAAAAAAAATGAAGAATAAAAGAAAAATGCTCGAAAACGAGCAGCCTTGTGAAAAATAACGCTAAAAATGGCGTTGAGGTCCAGTAGACCCCAGGTATACAAGAAGAAAGAGAATCATGGGACAAAAGGAATGTTCAATTCATAAGTTTCAAATTTCTTTTTAAACTGATTTTGAATTAAAAAACCACATTATATTATCATTTTACCTCGTTTATCTATCTATTCATATTCAATTATTTTCTTTAAGAACTCCACGTTGCAATAAAAATATCAAAGTACATTATATGGACTATTATCATTGTAAAAAATGTAATTTGTTAATCTATTTATAACATCATTTTATCTATATTCTATGCTCTATACATATAGAGTGGAATAAAAGCATTGCACATACATTATGATAACATATACGCAAAATACATGCAAAGTAATTCGCTGAAAAAATAA